AGAGACATCCTTCCGCCCCGCGGTGGGGTCGGCGTTCCCCGGAGCCGGCTTAGCTTCCCCTCGCACAAAAGCCTTCAGGAAAGCGCAGCCGGCTGTCTCCGGCCTTCCCCCGGCGCTGCGGCAGCTCCGGCGGGCAGGCCGCTGCGCGCGGGCCCGCATCGCGGGGGGAAGCGCCGGGAGCACAGGCACGGCCGCGTGCGGCGCTTTACACCCGACAAGGCCGAGATGACAGCTCGCGAAAGGCATCTGCACGCGTATAGGTGGGCTAAAAGGACGCGTGTTCCAGTGTGGAAGCACTGGAAGAGGACGGTGACCTTGTTGCAATCCCGAGAGTCATAAGCTTTGTTTGTGAGGGGGCAGCGGGCTCGAGGTGCGTCCCGGCAGAGCAGAGGCAGCCGGGGCCGTGCCCGCGGCCCCTGACAGCCCTGCACTCGTCCGTTCGGCCTGCAAATCACCCACACGCATCGCACAGCCCCGCTGCTGCATCGCCATGCTTTTCCTGTGTTTTGTGGGTATTACTGGGGTTATTTTAAGTGTGTACGCGAGTTAAGACTCTGCACATTCATATATATAAAATTATTTTGTAAATTATTGAAAGTACTTTAATTTTACATAAAGGCAACCACTGTTTCCCGATGCTTCCGTTTATACTGGAGTATACCAGGCACAGGGCTTCCTGCAAAACAGGGTTTTTAACAAAGGAATGAACCTGTATTCACTTTTGAGCACATAGGAGGAGGGCACTTGTGAAGCAGCTGATAGTCCCCACTTAACTGCACTTGGGTTCACACTGTGGGGCTTAGAAATGCAAAACAAATTGGAAGCACATGAAATCGAGGAGCGCATTGACTGACTGGAGCTGCTAATGGGCATGGAATCCATAGCACCACTAAAGCTTATCCGAATAAAGCCCCAAAGCACAGGCAGCAATGAACATCAGCTGCTCTGCCACCCTTGGGCTCTGCTGGTTTGTTCCACACTTCATGCTCATGTAGACACAGCCAGACTGCCAAGTGATTTGTGCATTACATCCAGGATTTCGGATGAAGGAATCGAGTGATGTAGAAACACACCGTCTCGGGCACTGGCGACTTCATGTTGTGTCCCGAATGCATAGAGGTTCCATCTGCCAACCACCAAAACTCATCATGATTTTATCTACTATGCTAATTAATCCTTTATCATCACATCTTTCTCCACATCTGCATTTCTAAAGGCCATAAGACACGTTTCAGCCCTCTCTCAGAGAAAATTCAGTGAAATTATTTTCTCTTGTCTCTCACTGGAAAGAAGGTCTAAGAAGTATTTATCTCTCTCATATACATACCCTTTCAGGAATCCTGTCATCAACATGAAGCTGTAAAAGTCCCAGCTACACAGTATTTAAATGCACATCTCACTAATGCCAGGTATTACCTCTCTACTCCTACTTGACACCAGATTATACATCCAGGGACTACTTTACTCTCCAAAATTGGCTTTTTTTCTAGCTGATCAGAAAAGAGGGGGACCCAGTCTCAACCAAACTTATGTGGAAAAACATACATAGGCAACAGGGAAATAGGAGCCGTACATAAAATCTACAGTGACAATATTGGACTGTTTTATGCAGGGGAGCTAAGGAACCTTGGGCTCCCCTGGATCAGTGCGGGCTAGGACCCTTTAGCAACTACATACACATTTTTAACTATATCTGAGATGTCACCAACTCTTTTTATCGGTGTACAGGGCATACAGGCTCTAAACTCATTTCACTAGGGAAATCCACACTCATCAAGTACATCAGATAAACCAAATAAGTAAATAAAGAGATCCAAAAGAAGATTCTTTCTTGTTTAAAGGGAATCCCCTGTATTCCAGTCTATGCCTGTTGTTTCTTGTCTTTTCACTGGGTATCATTGAGAAGCATCTGCCTCACCCGTGCTGAGTAGAAGGAAAGGATCATCTCTGTTTGACTTCCTGTACATGAGGATGGACCACTGTTAAGCTTGGAGAAGGTGATCCTTGAAAAATCAACCAGCTTCCTTGGACCCCTCTTCTCTCCACAGCCATTATGTTAACAGGGCAATTATCCTGTAAATAAATAGAAACCCAAACCAGAGGATTTCCATTTCAGCAATTTATGGGTATCATAGAATTTCAGCACCAGCATTTGCTTTTCCCAATAATATTGATATTGTTCTTATATACATGTATTGACTGTCATTGACCATGTAAATTAAGCATCTGCCAGAAAAAAAACCAAAACAAAACAACAACAACAACAACAACAAAAACCCAAACAAAACCAAACTTTGCTGTGTTCTTTTTTAGTTTGATTTACAGGGCATGCACATCACTAATGAATCAGGTTATCCCAAGCGTACCATTTGAGAGCCATTCCAAGTGTATCATTTTTATACAAAACAGACTGTCTAGCCTTCTACCATACTGTAGCTGCATCTGCTAACACTTGCATGGAATCTCAAGAGAAGAAAAACAAAGAAATGTTATGTAAATAAGCACTTCAAAAGTCTAGCATATATCACAATTAAAAAACATGAGCTACTGGGTCCACAGAGCAGACATAGTGACTTATGTCTTGTCAACCCTCTTCATAGTGGGAAATGGAATAATTTTTGGTTTTCATTCATAACTGTTTCATATACTTGAGAAAGGAAATCTAAATCCTGATAGGAGATGCCAGGGAGCAGGAAGGAGGAGTGGGGTCACTTCATAGCAGGGAGTGAGCAAGAAGCAGAGGGGGACTTCCAACAGAGGTGATGCCCTTCCCCGAGGGCACTCATGTAGGTGACACCAACCGGTTCTGCCAACAGCCCTTGGCAAATCGAGGTAAGTCAGGGCTGGGGTCCACACAGAGACCCAGTGGGGAGCAACAGCAGGAGCCAGCACCAGGACTGAAGACAAGGCTGGGATACATGTCTAGGTCTCATCCAGGAGACAGGGCTGGAGACAAGCTACCTGCAATGTCCCTCCAGCCTCCATCTGGGGAAAAACAAATCAGGAAGCTGGCAGAGTGAGGGACAGGGCTGGGAATGGCATGGCCCAGGCCTGAGCTTGTGGAGCCCCTGGACCACTGGGCAGAGGTGTGGGTGGGGGTCCCAGGCGAGGTTGCTCAGGGCTATTAAGGTCTACAGGTGTCCCCAGGGCCCTGGCAGTGACACCAGTGCTCCCTGCTCTCACAGAAATATATGGCATGTGTCTAGTTGCATGTCAACTGGGGTATTCGTGCCACACATCAAGAGACAGTGGTAACACGGGGACCTAAGCTTATCTGAGGTTATATGACAGCTAGAGCTGGGACAAAAAGGTACTGTGTGAAGAAGAGACTAGAGTAAGATATTGTAGGCTTACAGCAGGTGAACTGGTTTGTTGAGGACAACTGAATCTGGTTATCTCTATGCCATTTTTTTTCCCAGGTCTATGCCATTATACAGGTGCATTTTCATCTAAGAAATAACACATCATATTGGGCACAACAGCAAACATCCCAAAGGTAAGAGCCTCCCAGAAGTAAGAAACTGTGTCCTGGCATCAGAGAGAAAAATATATTTGAGGGGATTCCTGAAGACCACAGTCATCTGTCTCCCTTGCACACAAATGAACACAAACTCAAAATACTGATGTCATGAATGAGCCATACTGGCAGGCCTCTGGATAAAGGTCCACACAGAACCAGTCTAAACTGTGCCTTCGTTACACATATTATGTTACCTTAAACAGTTCTTCAACCTAGACAG